TTCCCGAAACGTCGGTTTACTACGATAACAATCAGCTGCGTTAACTGGTTACCGTATTAAACCGACGTTTCGGGAACATATTCCGTAGTAAATTTTTACTGATAAATGCACATATTCACAATACTATAAGTAATCAGAAGCGTTAACTCTCCGTCAACCCTTGAAATATAATAATATTGTAAGTGTGGAGACAGTAGATCCATGAAGAAGATCCATTCGAACGCCTTTATATACCATAAAATTAGTATCGGAGGACAAAACTTTCATACTTTATCGGAGGCAAGGACTCAGGAGTCTCAACACGCCAAGAAAATTTGAATAACTTTCTTCATTTTAATCTCATTCGTAATAAAGGAATATATTTATATTAAATTGAAGATTTTTCTTGGGTTTTCGCCCTTAAACGCTGTCTTTTACTCAGTAGCTCCGAGGCCACCTGATAAAGATAGCAACCGCTCGGCTAATCGACAGTTCGTATAAATTTAGACCTTACAAAAACGGATTACGAGAATTTTGAGTGACGTAAATGACTTCATAGAATAACGCTCACATGCATGACGACAGAAATATTATCTGTAAATTAAAATTTCGGTGATGTAACATTCGACGACGCTGGAATTTACTTGGTTTCACTTCGCTACTGTAGAACTTCCAGTCCAGGCATATTTTATCCTCCACGGTCGTGTAGTCTGATGATTCTTGCAGAAGGCTCTAGTCTAGTTCTCCTGTTTCTAAACAACAGTTCGGTACATAGCGATGGCTGCTACCTTCAGATCCAAAGGTAAATTATTAACAATAAATTGCTTCTTGCCGAAACTACAAAGTACTTTCGCGCAAACTGGCTGTTTTTACCAAACTCTTCAAAACAATTAAGGGGTCAGGATTTCAAATGTTCGTGCATTTTCTTATTAAAATGTTGGTAGTTTAGAGAATAGACCTTTTTTTAAACAAAGAACAGGCCTCTTTGCAACAGCAAACACAACTAAAGTATTTTTACACTGAAAAGTTTTAAACTAATCACAAAAAAAAAGAATGGAAATTTTATTTTCATCAAGTTTTTGTGACACAATTTCAAGATTATTTTAGCTTAGAAGGCGGTTGGACCCCTTCAACTCGAAGGACAGTTGTACAGCGTTGAGGCATCCTCCGGATGTCGACTTGGGGAATTTGCGCCCATTCCTCCAGGTCCCGCTGTGTGGTAGGTGCGTTCTGACGGTCTCTGATGCGTCTTCCCAGTTACGTCCCACACATGCGCAATAGCGTTCATGTCTGGGCTGCATGCTGGTCGTGGTAAAATGGCGACGTTGTGCTCTTGGAGGTACTCCCTGACGATTTTTGCAACGTAACGGCTGGCATTGTCATGCATTAGGGGAAAATTTTCTCCAAATGCCAATGCACGAGGACGCACGAGGTTCCAGCACCTCGTAAATGTAACGCCGCGTAATTCTGATGACGACGAGGTTGGTTTTGTCGTCAATCCAAATACCGGCCCACACCATTATGGAGCCACCACCAAAACTGACATTTTCCTGGACTGTGACTGGTAGAGAACATAACCTATATATTGGGTTTATACAAAGCAGACATAAGTGACCTATCGTCACCACTGCCAAAGTGGACCTCGGTTATCGAACCGACCAATTAGAGAAAAGTCATTCTGACTTAAATTTAAATTATTCCTCCAATCACACACACAAAGCGGGAAGATGAGCCAATGATCTTACAATATTCAGATTTTGGAATGAGTGGGGGAAATTAATATATTTGAGTGAAAACTTCTTTTAGAGTCAGTTGTCAGTTGTTGTAAGTTGAAACGTTATCACGGACGCATCGGTGTATTACATTAACTTTTACCAATATCGTGCGGAGAAATTAATTCAGCAATCACCTGCAAATAAATACCTAAAGACACAGCTGATGCGATCTTTAATTAAACCCCGTAAACCCAGCATAAGAGTCTCAAGTCTCGTTTTACCCAAGAGACAGTTACAAGTATCGCACAAGAATCTTTTGTGATTAGGCTGGAGCAAAGATTATAAGAACATGTCGAAATCTAGGTATACCTGTCAAAGACGACAAACAGAATTGTGTTTCATTGAGGAATAAAAATCAAAGCTTTCTTGTTGCCGAAGCTAGAATTCTTTATCTAGGACAGCCTCAAATATAGAGGAAACACGTAAAATATGGATGTTTTTAAGTCCAGACATCCAACATGTAACGTTCATAAGCCGATAAAATACATAACATAACCTATTTGTGTGGTCCATATCAGGAGATCTGGTTTTTAACATGGCCCCCTGTCAGATTTATTACGACTGGACATGTCTTAACCATTAAGCTTTTGTCACAAATAAAATAAATAGTCACTTCGCAGCGCAGTCACAGTGACTCGACGTTTTGTGCTGTGTGCACGGGCCCCAAACCCTTCTTGAGAAAAAAGCTACAAAATATTTAGGGTTCGGATGTTCAAGACATGTAATATTTGTATTTTTCATTCTAAACTGAAATTAAACACTAATTGAGTTATTATAATCACAATTAGACTGTATTTATTTTGTATATAAATACATATTTAGGTTATTTTTATATTTTTAGTCATATTTGTAGTTAAATGCATATTTTGGTTATATTTTGGATATAAAATTTTTACTTGTAACTACATTTCTCAGACACTTAACAGTGAATCCTTCAGTTAGTTAAGATGTCGAAAGTGAAGTGTTTTGAAAGTGCGAAGTTAAGAGATTTCGTTAAAGATTTTGGCGAGGAATATTTTAGTTCTGATGGAACAATTCTGTTCTGTAAACTTTGTGAAATTAAAGTTACAGCTGGTAAGGGATTTAATGTGCTACAACATTGTGATACGACAAAATATAAAAATAATTTGAGCTGAAAAAAAACAGTCGTCAAAGCGAGCAACGACATCTGTTCGACAACACTGCAAACAACTTCACAATCAAACAAATTATGGCGTCTGCCAACTTAAAAAAGTGAACGATTAGCAGTTCAAAGCTTTCTTGGAGAAATACACGACTCAGTTAATTCCAGATGAATCAGCACTATCATTGTCTTTAGAGTCGATAAGGATGGGATCATTAAGTTCAGACTCGAGTTGTTAAAAGAAACGTAGGTCGTGGCCCATACTAGCTCATATAGCGATAATGTAACAAGAAACGTGCATTGAAAATGTAATGAAATGCCAGTTATGTAAAGTAAACATAAAACATTTCAGAAACACTGAACGACTTATCAACATGACTATGATTCCCTTCTGGGATGTTGAGTAGTGTGGTATGGTAGAAGTTTAACGACGTTTCGCAGGTATTTGCTACTCCCATCATCAAGGCGAAACATTCCAGAAAACAATTATCTTCATACCCGACGCCGTGAGAACGTAGAATCTCAGGTAGCTATATTGAAAGTCGCTGGAAAATATTTTAAAAACAATATTTTGTGAGCAGAATTTAAGGTTTTCACGGCAGTGAGTCATAAGATGGCGGTCTTCTGGGTCGTTGGTGTATTTGATATTAATCCCACTGCATTAGTGGCATAGATTGCTGCTGTAAGTACGCAGAAATACATAGAATAGCCCTAATGTGAATGATTTGGTGTCAGTGCCCTCAAAAGAGGACTGAATTGGTTGTTTTAACTTGTATGTATGTACTCAATGCTTTTTTTCAGTACGAAGCTGTATCCCGGGTCTGTATCGTCAGACTCACAGTATCAGATTGCTAAAAGAAATAGTAAAAGAGGAACTTGGAACAATAAAGGATGCAGGTACATGGAAGTCGGAGCATGTGATCACTTCCAGACAAGGATCACTGGTAACAGTAGGAAAACAGAAGCACAAGGTTCTTAACTTCTGCAGTAACAACTACCTGGGGCTTTCAGTAAGTACTGCATGCATGCACAGTTACTAAATTAACACTGAAAAGATTTTTTAATTTGTTCAGATAAATATTAATATCTCTTTGCAAACATAAAGGCCAAATGAGACAAGAAAAACTATAAAAATACTTGATCTGAGAACACCCCTACACTAATTTTTTATTCGTTTTATAAGTACCAAATTAAATTAAAGAAATACATTTCCAAGAGATCGACTATTATTCAGGCTCATAGGATTCTATATTCAATGGAAATGGTGTTTGAAATTCTTTTATTCTAAGTCCTGAGGGGGAAAGACCTCTGGGAAGAAATAAAGGACAATATTAAAATTGATCAGAGGGTGTGAAATGGATTAATCTGGCTCATGATAGAGATCAGTGGCTGGCTCTTGTAAATGTGGTAATAAACCTATTAGCTAGTAGATGACAGATTCATTTTATTTCCTTCAACAAAACTGACCAGTCGTTTTAAAGTAGAATAACAATGGATATACATAGTTATACCATTGGCTTACTTTTCCATATCTCTTACCTTAAGACAGCAAGAATTTATTCATGTCAGATTTCTTTAGATAATTCTGTTCTATGCACCAACATTGTATTTGAATTAAAAATCAAATACATGTTCTATATAATTAAAGGATAAAGTAAGTCAATCTGTTCCACTACACGCCATGTAGGCGCTTGGGGGGAGAGGAATTATAGCTCCTACTCATTCTTGACCTCAGCACTAGATGGGGGTGAGAACTCAGCGTCACGCCCCAGCCTTGTTTTACCCCCGAAAAAGTACCCCAGTACCCAATGGGTGGGCCATAGAACTGTTCTGGTTGCAGAGGCTAGAGTAAAAATCATCTGCCCCCGTTGGGGATCAAACCCCGGTCATCCAGTCGGTAGTTAGTCACTATACTGACTAAGCTACGCCGGCTCAGCACTATCAATTCCGCAATCATGTTCGGTAGTTGACACAATGCTGTTAAAAATGTAGGTATTTTTATGCAATGCTTAGGAAGTATGGAACCCAATAATTGTCAAATCCTGGCTACAAATCCGTAATCTGAAGAACGATAAAATATTCTAAATGTGACCCAGTGATGTTGGTAAACATGTCTTGCAGAGCCACCCTGATATCATTAATGCTGCTCAAACAGCACTTGAGAAGTATGGAGCAGGGCTGAGCTCAGTTCGCTTCATCTGTGGAACACAAAACATCCACAAGGTAAGCGTTACAAACTCCGAGCATAACGGCTCTGATGTTTATCCATAAGGTTTTGTTCGTGTAATTAGCGCTCTAAGTGGAATGCACAAAATTTCAGCCTGAATAAAATATTAATTATAACACAGAAGATTATAATCCAAACTACTGGAGTTGTCTGGCAAATATAATAGAATCTGTACTAGCAAAAGTTATGCACACAAATGGATTGTTAAATAATGTAATTATTAACTTATAATTCTTGTTAGCCTAACCATGTAGAGTCAATTTAATTGTGGTGTTAACCAAGCATTTTTATCGCACTTGACTGAAATTCACCATGACCAATTTCACTTCCTCGTGACTGTCTGTTCAGTGTTCCCTCCAGTTCTACACGCAAGTCGATCTGGAGATTTTTCAGGTTCATATGTTTCAAATACACTTCGTTAATGACAACTGCAGGAACTGGAACATAAAATTGCTGACTTCCACCAGCGTGAGAATGCCATTTTGTATCCAAGCTGTTTTGATGCTAATGCTGCAATTTTTGAAGTCCTGCTCACACCCAGAGATGCTGTTTTTTCTGATGAATTGAATCATGCATCCATCATTGATGGGATAAGACTGTGCAAAGCAAGAAAGCATCGCTACCAACATCTGGACATGTCAGGTATATAATTTCGCTACAGATTCCCATTGAATGTGAAATAAGGTTTTCATAACTGCCCTCTATCAATAAATTTCAAAGAGTAATATTATGTATCAAAAATTTAAAAATAATCTGGTAAATCTAAAAATCATTGAGGTAATGTGAATTATTTTTGTAACTGGGGCCACCTATCACAGATAAGTACAATATCAATTTCTAAAAATCATCAAAGCACTATCTTACGAAGAAATATACCTGTCAAATCACAAAATTTGTTATGAAATCCTTTGGTGCCTCAGAAGTGGGGTCTTATGTTAACTTAGCACAATGCAAAAGGTTTCCGGACACCAATTGTTGAGGAGTCATTAGTCCGGAGGTTTGAAATAAAATAAAAATTAACGCAGTTCAAGCAGTTTGTCTAAAACAAGATTTTAAGTTAAAAAGTTCATCATGAAATAAGGACTGTTACAAGCCAAGCACTCTGTCATTAAGCAATGAGTGAAGCAGAGCCAAGCACTCTGTCATTAAGCAATGAATGAAGCAGCTTATCAGTCAGTCAGTTCAGTGACTTATCATTCAGTACACCAGCAAAATTCAACAGTGAATTATTACACAAAGGAAAGAGCGAGCTTGGAAGAAGACGCTGTATGAGTGAACAGTGGCAAAATTCAACAGTGAATTATTACACAGAGGAAAGAGCGAGCTTGGAAGAAGACTAACGATGCTGTATGAGTGAACAGTGTTAGGGTTAAGTCTGATTCATATTCCGATGACTTTACAACTGGTAGCCTTGTGTGGCTGTGTGCTTGTCAGACGACCCTGGTTTTAATTACACGGCCGCTGCCTCCTACTTCAGTAAAAAGTATCTAAGGTACATTAAATAAACCTGGAGCTGGAAACTGTGACAAAGGTCAGACCAGTGTTTTTAATTAGAACTGGAAACCTTACCTCTGCTTTATCTAAAAACTAGATTTTCCAGCTTTCATTATATTTTGCCCTGTTCCCCACTTACCCATTGCATATACCTGGAGAAAGACATCATTCAGCGAGTTAGCCAGGTTATAAGAGTTTTAAGAACCCTGAGGATGAACCCCCCCCCCCAGAAGCAAAAGAACACAATGTGAAACATTATGGCCAACTGTAACTTAGCACCAACTCTAGCAGTGGGATGACTGCTCAAACGCAGTAATTAGCATAAATAAAAATAAGAAGTCTTGTGTTTTTAGATCTTGAGCAACACTTGAAGGAGGAGAAGAATGCTCGACTCAAGTTGATTGTGACAGACGGTGTGTTCTCTATGGACGGCGACATAGCTCCTCTTGATATGATATGCAAACTTGCTGATAAGCATGGGGCACTAGTGTTTGTTGATGAAGCTCATGCTACAGGCTTCTTTGGTAAGACAGGAAGGTACGAAAATATATTGCATTACATGGTCATAAAAAGCCTACCAAAGACCCTATCCAGTCCACACCCCCATAACCTACAGCTTTAAAAATTAATTTTAATATGTCCATCTGTATCAAGTTCTGAATGGCCTCTTATGAACAGCCTTTCTAATCAAAATGTTGTATATATTTATCTTGCCACGCAAGCTACACACCTCACCCTATATTTAGTGAAGAGTACACAAATTATGAAGTTCCTTTTTGTGCAATTTTCACCATCATCCTATTACTTCTTCTCTCTTAGGTCCAAATATTCTCTTTAGCATCCTGTTCTCTAACGCCTTTAATCGGTTTTCTTCACTTAATGCGAGCAAAACACATTTATTTTCCAACTCCCAGTTTTATATAGTATGCAAAGTTTTTAGAGAATGCAGATTAATAAAATAATACTCTCGAAGTATGTAATTTGTAATGGATGTCCAATACACAGATTTACCAACTTATTCCATACAAGTATTCAAAAGGAGCACAGAGGCAAAACTGCAGCAAGACTTGAAAATCTGGTTAGTTATCTAAATAGAGTGTCCTGCAACAGGATGTCCGTATCTTAATTACGTGCTCTTGACATAATTTTGAGTCGAAAAGTTCAGATAAACGTGGGTCCGATATGCAACGGTTTATCAAGAAAATGAGAAAGAGCATTTTATTGCATTTGTAACTTTTACATTATAAACATTTAATTTAATTTAACTGTTATTATTATTATTATTATTATTATTAAGTTTAGATTACACTTTAAATTGTATTTTTAATTACTCACGTTATTTACGTGACTCGAAATGGCCACCCTGATTGTCGATGCGCAGTTGAGCCCTTCGTGTAATTGAAGTAACAGAGTCATGATCATTTTTGATGTTATCACAACAGTCCATTATTTGATTCAACAGCTAAGCCCTACTGTTTTGACTCGATGACATACACTAGGGATATCATTTAGCCCCAGAGAAAGTACTCCAAAGGCGGAATCTAGTGACCTCACTGGCCAAGCAACTAGACCACCTCACGACTGTTGATTAAGAAATACAGTCACCTGCCTACCAAAATAAGGAGTTTTCAATATTATCACCGGATTCCATCATTAAATTCGGCAGCTCTGCCCTACTGTTTGACTTCATGGCATACACCAAGGATTTCATGTGACCCCAGAGAAAAGAATCCAAAGGCGAAAGACCTGGCGATCTCGCTGGCCAATCAACTGGACCATCTCTGCCAATGCAACGGTCTCGCAACTGTTCAGAAATGGAGTCACCTGCCTACGAAAATGAGATTTGCCACATCTCTTTCCTGGTTAGCAGAGGAACATCTCCCAACTTCAATGACAGATCTTCCTGCAGGAAACGCAAGCAGCACTGCAATGTCAAGCGGTCTTCTAGCGATGAGCGCCCCTTGTCTTGCCTATGTGCGCAGCTTAGTAAACTAAGTTCTCAAACAGCCAATGCATAGCGAGTGCGGAGCATTTTCTTGACAAACTGTTGCACATAGGACCAACGTTTATTTGAAATTTTCGACTCAAAATGATCCCAAGAGTACTTCGTTAAGCTATGGACATCCTGTATAATGTACTGTACGTAGAAATGTACATGAAGAAACAGCTATTTCTACAGTAATCAACAAAAATTTGTTCACAGAGGAACAGAGGAATACCACAACATAATTGGTCAAGTTGACATCATAAACTCAACATTGGGGAAGGCTATGGGTGGTGCATCTGGTGGCTACACAACTGGACCAAAGGAGTTAATAGATTTACTACGCCAGAGGGGACGGCCATATCTCTTCTCCAACAGTCTACCTCCCCCTGTTATAGCAACAGGAATTAAGGTGCACTTGATGTCGTCACAGTTATTCTATTCTGTGCTGACCATTATTCACCCCACCGTCAGAACTTATCAACAACAAAGTATTTCAACCATTCATTCCCTCTACAAGCAGAGCGTTGTGCAACAGATTTTTATCACCCTTAAAAAGCCATCGACCTCTGCCGGGTTTGCACCCGCGAACCTTAGTTCCAGTGGCGAACACACACACACCACTAGTCCACCAACCATTTAATTATATTATTTTCCCCTTTAAAAATTAATCTGTACCCATGCTAATAATTCTGTAATTCTATATTCGCAACGAAACTTCGCAGAACAGAAATTAGAGCACTCTGTACTCATATATTTGCCAAAGTAGTTATACTTTCAATCGTATGGCAGGGATTCCACATGATAAGAATGACTTTAAATGACATGTGAACTGTTTACAGGCATTCGACATTGTTTTGAACAGTAACGACCTCGTTAAGCGCGTCAGACACAACACAAAACGCTTCCGAAATGCCATGATCGAAGCCGGTTTCACAGTTGCTGGGGGGGGCCATCCTATCTGCCCAATCATGCTAGGCCAAGAACGACTGGCGAGTATATTTGCGGATGAAATGCTTGGTAAGTTACATATCTGTATACAAATATAAGTTATTCGCAAAACTTTACTGAAAATTCTCATTAATGAATACGATAAACAATTCTTTTAATTGTTAATATAAATGTTGCACAATTTCTATCTATTTTTAGCAAGAGGAATCTATGTGGTTGGATTCAGCTACCCAGTAGTTCCCAAAAACAAGGCAAGAATCCGGGTTCAATTGTCAGCCAGTCATTCAGATGAAGACATCAATAAAGCTGTGAATGCATTTGTTGAAGTAGGGAAAAAGCTTAATGTTATCTCATAATGTTTGAATAATTCCATCAACATAAGAAAAAACATGATGATTTCTTTTATTAAGAGACTTCCCCCTGGGAAGTTGTTAGAATATTTTTTGGAGACACAGATACAAAAATGTGAAGATATGGTTAATTTTACCTTCCCTTATAAAATAAGAGAAGTAGACTAATAATATTCAGAGTTGACACTTCTTCAAAACAAATAAATTCAAACATAAAATGTCACATCTCGTATTTAATGCCTTTGTTATGTTGTTTAAGAAAACAGTTCTGAATCATACATTACAAACTAAACATCTAAGTTTAAATCAACCAAAATCAAATATTTCAGAAACAGAAAAATAATACATTAGGAACCGAGAAATAAGATATTTTACATGTTAAACCATTAAAAACAGAGAATTCATAGTTTAGATGATTTTGGCATGTAGACAGAAAGGAATAAGATACATAAAGAATGAATGACAGGAAAAACATCTTTGAATACTGAGAAGGTAACCCAGATAAGCAGGGAAACTGTATTCAGAACATACTGAGTGGAAACAATATGATAGGATGATTCCAAAATCCAAGCCATAGACCCAAAAGAAAGTAGAAAGTTCTTTACAATATTAGGGAGAGAGAGAGCGAGGCTTTTTTAAGTAGTTTCAATTATTGCATATTGATGTATACAAAAGTTGTTCGATGAAATGAAACACAGACCATCTTTGACTGAGCAAGTTCATATTGTTGAAATTAGTACACGTGCTTTGATCCGTAAGTCCATTTATGCAATAAATTTCCCAAGGCTTCATTTCCAACATGGGAGGATAAACTTAGGGTCCCTTAGAATCTACAACACACATTCCAAATGATGACACACAAAAAAAAAACATTAATTGGAACTCAAATCCAAGCTAGGAATGACAAAAAATACAATAAAATCAATGCTTCATTTTTAAACTGAAAAATATACTGATTTATTTTTCAACTACTAGGGTTGTTTGATTAAGAATTATGTATTAGCTAGAGTTCCACATGCTTTTCTTTTCTCATATATAACTCCATACATCAAGATGGAGATATATAACAAATTATGAAGACGGCTGTCTTCTGGGCTGTTGTGCCGTGTATTCTGTGTAGACTACCGGACTACACAGACGCACTGCCATAAAAACCTCAAACCCTACATATCTGACAAATTACGATGATAAAATATGTATGTGATGATCACATCATACTGTATGTGAGAATATATAATATTATTGCAATATTCTTAGAAATAAAATGTTAACTAAACCCAATATTCCATGTCTTTGTATATCTAGATATACAAGTTGCATATTACATATAGATATAAAGTACAAATCTGGAAAAAATAATGTTGGCACACACAGAGTGTTAAATTTTTAAATTTAATGAAAAGTGACACACTCAACTATGCATGCAAGGAACTTTCTAAAAATGTGGGATCTGAGGTTTTCATTGTAGAGTATGAAAAGATGACTTGTCTTCTGGCATGTTTCGCCATCCATTAAGAGACTTCCCCCTGGGAAGTTGTTTGAATATTTTTTATCAAACCACTACATTCAATTTTTCAAAGCCTGGAAAAGTCACACGGACCATAAGAAAACTAGGACAGAAAGGGAACCTATCACAAGGCAGCATTCTCTACACACAGATGCCAGTCCATCAAATTTGCACTACATTTCTTTCTGTACTCTTTAACTCTAAAGGAAGTGACAAAAATATACTAAAGTGGGAATGTCTCTAGTAGCATGATCTTTACACCAAGTTCCTATAAAATGTCAATTTGTTCAAAAGTTTTTTTGGAGACACAGATACGAAAATGTGAAGATATGATTAAGTTTACCTTCCCTTATAAAATAAGAAAAGTAGACTAATAATATTCCGAGTTGACACTTCTTCAAAGCAAATAAATTCAAACATAAAATGTCACATATTTAATGCCTTTGTTATGTTGTTTAAGAAAACAGTTCTGAATCATACATTACAAACTAAACATCTAAGTTTAAATCAACCAAAATCAAATATTTCAGAAACAGAAAAATAATACATTAGGAACCGAGAAATAAGATATTTTACATGTTAAACCATTAAAAACAGAGAATTCATAGTTTAGATGATTTTGGCATGTAGACAGAAAGGAATAAGATACATAAAGAATGAATGACAGGAAAAACATCTTTGAATACTGAGAAGGTAACCCAGATAAGCAGGGAAACTGTATTCAGAACATACTGAGTGGAAACAATATGATAGGATGATTCCAAAATCCAAGCCATAGACCCAAAAGAAAGTAGAAAGTACAATATTAGGGAGAGAGAGAGGCTTTTTTTAAGTAGTTTCAATTATTGCATATTGATGTATACAAAAGTTGTTCGATGAAATGAAACACAGACCATCTTTGACTGAGCAAGTTCATATTGTTGAAATTAGTACACGTGCTTTGATCCGTAAGTCCATTTATGCAATAAATTTCCCAAGGCTTCATTTCCAACATGGGAGGATAAACTTAGGGTCCCTTAGAATCTACAACACACATTCCAAATGATGACACACAAAAAAAAAACATTAATTGGAACTCAAATCCAAGCTAGGAATGACAAAAAATACAATAAAATCAATGCTTCATTTTTAAACTGAAAAATATACTGATTTATTTTTCAACTACTAGGGTTGTTTGATTAAGAATTATGTATTAGCTAGAGTTCCACATGCTTTTCTTTTCTCATATATAACTCCATACATCAAGATGGAGATATATAACAAATTCTGAAGACGGCTGTCTTCTGGCAGAAGTTTACTGACATTTCGAAGGTGTTTGGTAATGAGTACTCGCTGCCCTGATGACAGGGGCAGCAAGCACCTCTTAAATGTCACTGAACTTCTACCAGAAGACAGTTATCTTTTTTTTATTCTTCTAAAACTCTGATCAAAAGTCCTAATATACTGGCGGGCTGCCCCTTGTATGATGCTCTCTTATGTTCTTCTGTCGTTTCTCCCCATAGGAGGAACTTTCAGCATAAAATAGGTATGTTAATTTTATTAACATAGTAACATGGTTACATACATACTATATATATATACATATACATACATTCTCTGTCATTTGAACTATAAAAATATGTTATCTTATTGAAAATACTGAATATTAAAGAGTAATATGGCACAGAAGTTACATTGCTTATGACCCTCATCGCTTCATGACCTGCCATGCTTCATCTGGGATCAAAATTTCACATGACACGTGACCACTATTTCAAAACTTGACCAACATTTCAATGCATCTTGTAGCGACCCTGCTCTCATACCCATTTTGAAACAATGGCGCAAACACACAACGCACCTCACAATCAGAAACAAAGGTTTATCTGTTTGACCCTCCCCTAGTGCAACAAAAGCTATCATACACAACATATTTCCTTAAAAAAAAATAAGCAAGAAACTGTATGAGATAAGCTTACCAAAACCTCATGAAGTGTTATGTCAATAATCATTAAAAAGAAACATTTTAATGATAACGCAAATGCAACTGTGCATACATATGGAAAGAATTCTAGTATATGGAAACTATGAATAAATTCACTTAATATTTACCTTTATGTTTATTACTTACACAAATCTGAAAACAGAGGTAAGAAAACTGTAACTTTCATAAAGTCATTCCTATTGTCTTAGATTTAAATCCACAAAACCATGCAAACTGAACATTATTACAAACAAAAAAATAATAATCTCAGGCTAGATCTTGATTCTTAGACGATTCATTTCTCAAACAAAATTACTGTTCAGCGTCTCAAAGTTTCTAATGATGGTGTGCTCTTCCATGTAAAACTGTTCTTTGGGAATATGGCTGTCTTCTGGGTAAAAGTGCTGCGTAATATGGTAGAAGTTTATCAATGTTTCAAAAGTCCTTGCTGCCTCTATTATCAGGGAGATCACCATGATGATGGAGGCAGCAAGGACCCCTGAAATGCTACTAAACTTCTACCAGACTACATGGCGCTACACCCCAGAAGACAGCCACTATCGTACTCACCATCGTGAGAACCTCAAATGTTCTTTCGGACTTCATTCATCACCTAAATTACAGAAGTCTGAGGCTCGCTCAACCAGGGGGCCAAACAGTTAGGTTTTCTGTTGCCTTTCTTCCTTTTTTTACCTGTAGATGAAAGCAGAATCCAGATTCTGAAATTCTGTAGTTTTATTATTTTATAATTTGGATGATGCACAAAGTTAAGAAAATGTACATACTAAAATTACTACTGCATATTATATTGAATAGCACGCTCAAAGACTGTATTAAGGGGCTGCATCAGCAATATATTTTAAAGGATAGAAAAATATTAATTTACTCAATATCTATATATCAATAACTCTCTTTTCTGCAATGTTTATGAAAATCTAAACAAACTGAGGAAGGTGTGTGTGGCCTTAAATATCACATAAATGTGGTGACATAACACAACTGCCAACACAAAAATCTAATACTGTCCATTTCTAGTGTTGGCACAATGTTTTATTTCGTACACTATCCACACATTGGTACTGTTTCTGACTGCAGCCGATCAATGTACAAGCATATGACACAGTAAAACCATCATACCACACCACAATAGGGGTTTATTCAAAGTAAGGTTAGCGGCCACGTGTTTTATTCAACATCAATGAACGTGCCAATCACCGAAGCCACACATCCAGTGTTCCTGAAAACTAATGGCCAATGTTTACAAGTGGCAAGTCAACCAAAACAGTGGTGCCACTACAGAAGTGGCTGGGCGCGAAAGTCTGTCTAGTTATTCGGTTTCTGCAAGCAAAATTGAATGGAACAAGTGAAATTCATCAAGAGCTTGTGATGTCAAAGAAATGGGTTTGTTTTTGATGTAATAAATTAAGAAATGGTCATGTGAACATTAGTGATGAACCAAGGAGTGGCAGAAGACCATCAACAAGTAAAAAAGACAATATTACATGCACTGAGCAATGTTTCATGAAACAGGCATTTTAAAATTGAATTCCATAGGAGGCTGGTTTGACCAAGACGACTGTGCTTGAAATCATCTGCAAAAAGCTTAAATTTCAGGATGTGTCCCATAATGGAAGGGCACAGCTGCACAAGACAATACAAATGGCAGTGTGCCTGCAGTTGCCAATGCATTACCATAATGAAGGTAAAGCATTTCTGAACAGGACCGTGATGGAAGATAAGACATGGGTAGATCATGACACCTCAAAAAGGAAAAGAAATTCAATGACGAGGAAGCATCCTGGATCCCATACACCCAAAACACTGAAGGCCACATTGTTTGCAAGGAAGGTCATGGCAAGTTCTTTTTGAGATTGTCAAAGACATTCTTTTAATTGACTTAATTAAATGTGGGTCCACAATAAATGCTGAACACTACCTGAAGTCAGTAATCTGTGACATATGTCCAGGACTCCTAACACAGGATTTGGGCAACACAGTCAGTGGGGAGTGTTGGAACATCCACCCTTACATGGACTGTAAGGGTGGATGTTCCAACTTCCAGGTGTTGGGGCCTTTAAAGCAGCGCCTTTCTGGAAGGCACTCAGATAAAGATGCAGATGTCAAATGGGAAAAGCATGGGTGGTTACAGGGGCTGAACCCAAAGCTTTACTGCAATGACATGGATAAAAATCTCATTGTGCGGATAAAACCAATGTCTTGATAGGCTGCGATCATGTTTAAAACAGTACAAATATGTGTCTTATTTTCTGTGTAATAACATAACAATTCAGTGAAAAGTATTCTCAAAGAATTTTGCTATTTTACTTTTCAGATTCCCATCAACATTTTAACCCTTTCATTAAAAAATTTGGTAACACCAAGCACAATATACCAGACCTTTTTTCTGCAAATACTGATATCAACATGATGTGAGTATCTCAATTTTAGCAGGAAAATTTAAAAAACTGCAATGCATATAATACAGATTCATCTCAAGATGAAGCAGCATACACCAATCTAGGTAACAAACACACTAGGATTTGGGAAGAAAGAATTATAATTTTTCCTCACTAATGTTAAAATCCAAGTCCCCACATTAAATTATATGGAGATTTTACTGTATTGGGTGGGCATTTGTAATTCAGTTGCTGATTTAAAGTATGTGACACTGTAAAACTCTGGCATACTGTGATGAAAAGAGCAAAGCTTACATTGGCATTCACAAGTAAAGATAATTTAGGTGGAATCAAGTACAAAATGAAACAGAGAGAAAGAACATTCATGAGTGCATAAAGTACACAAGAATATTTTTAAAAGTGGATTCAATTGAGACCAAGGTCGTTAATACAAATTACTGATGCAGCAACAGAGATAATCTTTCAATACACTATTAAAAATATAATGTTCTACAAATTATGTAAGACTAAATAATCACCGATGCTGTAATTTTGCTTTTGTTTCACAAAAGACGTCCATGTAGTTTGAATATGCTCCTCTCCCATTGCTGCACAGAACAAGGGATAAAGTATCTGAAGAAAATAAAATATTTTACTACAAAGTAGGGGTTCAAATTGTATGTACCTGAGGAAATAATGTACATAAGTACAATTTAGACTATGACTACAATTTAAGACAACAGACAATATCTGTCAAAATCAAACATAAATACTGTTGTCATGTATAGGATAACAGGGGGGCAAGTACATACCAGATTAACATTAAAAGTTGCCGAGAATAACGCAACCAGCCGACTAGTACAATAAAGCTGCCATAGTCAAACAATACACCTGATGCAAACACTAGAAACATGAATAAATCTTAATTTCACAATCAGAAAATCCAAAGTATACAATCTCACATAACTTTTATAAAATAACCAAAAGGCAGCATTCAGATGTAACTAACCCCATGAAGCAAACCGTCAAACAAGAAATTCCATGCCTTTATGGATCCAAAAAGTCTTTTAAAATGTTCACAAGAGTGCAGCACTGGTCCCAATCCTGAGCCAGATACATTTGGTTCACAACCAATTTTGTCAAGATCCATTTTAATATCATCCCCCCCCCTTCTACACCTAAGTTTCCCATGTAGACCCCACAAGATTTTTTTGACATAAATTCTGTACATTGTGCGCATGCTACACCTCTCCTGACTGCTTCATGCGAGAAGTTTCACACCCATAAAAAGTACGTAAAATTAAAGTTTTGTATACCAATCATTGCCCAGACTTAAAATACTCTTTAATTTCTTCACAAAACGTAATTTTGATTTGTTATTGTCACTCCGAACTTTTACCACATTTTCAAAGAATTGACTATCTTCATATTATGATGCTATTCTGAACTCTGATTGAGACATTGCAAAATGCTAGTGTACAAGAATACTAACCCAAGACAATATTAAAAAATGTACACGTATATGCAGACTTCTTTCAACACACTTTTATTTACACACACATGTACATTCAAACACACAAAAGTGTATATTTTTCTGCAGTCAGGTTCACAAGGATGAGTTTCTCACCTTAGCGGGACAGATAATACATTTTTATTCGTATTACGTAAATACTCCAAGTGGCCGGAGGTACTGATCTACTGACTTATGGCAGCATCACTTACCAAGTTGCGTTATAACTTGTCAGTTGGATGGACTGAGCAATGGTGAGTCGTCTTCAGAAGTGTAAGTTCCTGCAAATAGGACATAACTCGCTAAACATCGCGTAAACAGAAAACACGGCAAGAAAATTACTGCGTAAATACACGAATGTTTATTCTTGTATAGGTAAAACGTAGATTTGTCTGTGCTTAACTAAGCATAACAAGGATGAGTTTCTCACCTTAGCGGGACAGATAATACATTTTTATTCGTATTACGTAAATACTCCAAGTGGCCGGAGGTACTGATCTACTGACTTATGGCAGCATCACTTACCAAGTTGCGTTATAACTTGTCAGTTGGATGGACTGAGCAATGGTGAGTCGTCTTCAGAAGTGTAAGTTCCTGCAAATAGGACATAACTCGCTAAACATCGCGTAAACAGAAAACACGGCAAGAAAATTACTGCGTAAATACACGAATGTTTATTCTTGTATAGGTAAAACGTAGATTTGTCCCTGTGCTTAACTAAGCATAACGCCACAAAGATGCGTACGAGAACAGTGGTGTTATTCCACGCGCATGAAACTTTTGTACTAAACGGTCAGTGGTCAGCTTCACACCGCAGCTCTCGTTGTCCAAGACATCCACTGAATAGGAAGCCAGACAGCCCCCAAACCCAGTATGAACATGGTGGCAAATAGAAAGATCCCTGTCCCTGGTAGGAATCAAACCTGACTTGTCCAGAAGGTATCCTAGTTAAATTGTAGCCCACATACCGACTATTCCTGTACCAAAATGTGTCACTGTTTACTCACATTCTATTATGCATGTAACATATCATGAATAGATAAGACAGGCATCAACTATGTGAGGATCGTCACTGTACGACAGCACGACAGACTAACATATTTGGCCGTGTTTCTAGGAATGGCCAATCATCTGCATTTTGGCTGCTATGCTTAACAATGGTATTACGCATACGAACAAAATTCTGACTGCTGAATGAATTATATCATAATCATGCACAAAATATATCTACAGGTAGCCCTCGATATAAGCCGGGGATGCGTTCCTGGACGAACCGGTGTAAACTGAAACTCTTTTATAATGTAAATCAATGGGAAGTCAATGACATGTGTTCCCAGCACCCAAACATTGACGAGTAATACAATGGAATTACATTTAAAGCTCTGAAATAACGTAAATAAAATAAATGGAATTTAAAAAATATATTTTATACACTTACAATCAGCAATTCGTTGGTCCCAGCGATTGACTGTGATTCTTTCATGTGATTGATGTGTACAGTCATCTCTGCTGTTATGCGATAGTTGCATTCATGTAAGACGCCGACCTAC